AATTATAGTATTTGGTAGAAATTGAATTGCAATCCCTGTGGGTTCGACACTCTTAACTCAATCATTATATTACAAAATTTAACACCGTACACTTGCCGCATAAATTCACGTTGTAGAAAACGGGTGACAATGATTTTTTTTTTTTGTTATTTAATGCATCAAACAACAAAGAAACACATGCTTTTCACGCAGGAAGTCTACTGGTGGTTTTTACTTTAAATAGTATTACTCTATTTCCATATAGCACTTGATGAGAACCACGTAGCAACGATAACTACGGAACCCCGCAAAAGATTGACGATCCCAAGAAAGTCCAAAGAATAATCCGGTTTAGAATTTGAACCAGGAATAATGAACCAAGCAACCAAACAAAACGAAATTTGAATGATTTCTTGATTACACAACACGTGATCCACACTTGATGTTGAATGCCACAAGATTAACGTGATAAGTTCGCAAAGTTCTAAGAAGAACAAGATTTGAAAGCAAAATAGCCTCTCGATTAATTCTCAATAATGTTGTGTCTTACAACGAAAGTAATGAAATCTATTTATACTAAGCCCTAATTAAGGTAGTTAAAACGGAAATAAACTCTTAAGATTACAAATATATCAAATAAAATAGAATCCTAATCAAATAAGGTAATTTCAGAAAAAGGAAATTTTGGCTCCCCAAAAAAGCCATGCGGCCGCATGGAACATCTCAAACCCAAATTTTTTCATTCAGTAGTCCTCCATGCGGCTATGGTTACATGGTTTTAATCTGAACTCCTCTTCTTCCTTATGCAGAATTTTGTGATGATTCTGGATTGTACTCATGGGCGAAAACCCGACACCCGAGTTGAAAGTTATGTACATTTTCATCCACGCTGTTCGTTTGCTGCTTGGACCGAGTTGATCCATTTGGTTTTTTCTTCCAAGCCCAACATGAAACTTGTTCCTTAACTTGTTAATTTTGACACTTCGCCACCATAGCTTGAGCAAGCAATCCCATCGCCTCTTTCACCCGCTTTGCCCTCGAATGTGTCATCGGGTCTCCTTCGATAATCAACGGGTCTCGTCCTGTTGTCGCCTTCGTCGGGCTTGACTCCTGGATCATATCATTCCCTCCTTCTTCAAAAGGATTCAACCTCAAATCTGTACCTGCATCGAAAAGGGAGAGGTCAAACACATTAAAAGTTTCTGAAAACATTATACTAGCCTAGAAGGTCTAATTTATATGCATTGTCGTTAATTTTCTCCAAAATTTGAAATGGACCATCCCTTCGTGGTTGTAACTTTGATTTCCTTTGTTCTAGAAAGCGTTCCTTTCTTAAATGTACTAAAACCAATCTCTCGGTTCGAATGTCTTGCTTCTCCGGCCCTTGTTTGCTTGCGACTGGAAGTGTTTGTTTTTACTCTCAATTTGTGCCCTTACCTTTTCATGGAGCGACTTCACAAACTCTGCCTTTCTTTTACCGTCTAGGCTACCTCATTCATTCATAGGCAAAGGCATTAAATCTAAAGGTGTTAGTGGATTAAAACCATAAACGACTTCAAATGGTGAAAACGAAGTAGTAGAACGCATGGCCCTATTATATGCAAACTCTATGAAAGGTAGACACTCCTCCCAACTCTTCAAATTCTTATTGACTACAGTGCACAAGAGTTGCGTCATGGTCCTATTCACTACCTCGGTCCGACCATCAGTATGTGGATGGCAAGTTATTGAAAACATAAGTTTAGTGCCTAACTTACCCCACAAAACCTGCCAAAAATGACTAAAAAATTTTACATCCCGATCAGATACTATGCTCTTAGGTACCTCATGTAAACGCACTATTTCCTTAAAGAANTTGTTGAAAACATAAGCTTAGTGCCTAACTTATCCCACAAAACTCTCCAAAATTGACTCAAGAATTTCACATCCTAATCAGATACTATACTCTTAGGTACCCGATGTAAACGCACTATTTCCTTAAAGAATAACTCAGCAATGTTAGTGGCATCATCGGTCTTATGACATGCTACGAAATGTGCCATCTTACTAAGTCTATCTACCACCACAAATATCGAAGGTCGTCCCTCTTTAGCTTCTCAGTAAATTCCATGTCTCCATGCGTTTATTTGTCTCGGGATTACCATATATTCCAGTTAGAAACCAGCTACATAGAGTTGAATCAATCTTGGCATAAATGTGATTTTTGGAGTAACTTAGAATAGATAAACAAATATCAGGTTTCCAAAAGAGTGCAATTCCACCACTACGCCCTATTGACTCCAGATTAAAACAACCATAAAATTTTAATTTTACCCGACAGAATTCCATATTCATAGCATTTAGTTTTGTCTCTTGCAAGAACAAAACATCGGGGTCTTCCTTTCTGATAAGGTCAGACAGATTATGAATGCCACGAGGGTTCTCAAGCCCTCGTACATTCCAGCTAAGTAGTTTCATGAGGATCGGTAGGGCTGTATTGAAGCCACCACCGAATTCTGAGCATTGGTATCTTAATTCCGTTCCTGGGATTCTCTTGTACCCTTCAAACGTTTTGAAGTTCGAACAGCTTCACCATTTATAGTAGAGATTTCTAAAGATCTCTTTAGGATTGCTGTGGGAGTAGAGGTACTGGAGCTTTGTATCTGATTCTTTTGGCTCTTTTCCATCGTCGAGTTTGATTGGCTCCCGTTGCAGTAATTGGTTTCCCGTTAGCCTTAGACAATTCAAAATCAGGTTGTAGAGAGACCTGATTGCCCTTTGTCAGATTTTTAGGAAAGTCAGTGCTGTCAATATTCCTTACCATAAAATCGTTGTTGGCCCATATTACTTTCCATAAAATCTGTGATCCTTGATTGATCCGGTAATGGCAGCTGTTCTGGAAAAGTTTCCTTAATCATCTCCATATTAACTCCATTAATATTGCTCTCCCGTAATTGCTCCTGATTTTCATGTGCTAAAAAGCTGGCTGCCAGTGCTGGAGTTTGCTCACCACCTTGCTCGCCATTTTTCTGACCATTGGGGCCTGCATGTTTCGTCTGATGATCAGGGATTAGGGGATTCAATTGTCGATTACGGATAGGACCTCTATATTCTCCAAATTTTCCAGCACGTAGCCAAGGTCCATATGAATAATCAGAGGTTGTATATGTCTCCATGGATGATCTCCATTGAGAGCATTCCTTCTCACTATGTCCAAGCGTGCCACACACGTAGCAGAAATTTGGAAGAGGCTCATAAGCAAAGTGGACCAAGAAAGGTTTGTAAGATCCTATGCAAATTCTTTTACCACGTAAGAGAGGTTTGGAAACATCAAGGCCAATCCGAACACGAAGGAATTCACCTCTTGCGAACTCATTTTTGTCAATGTCCGCTTCAATAACCTTGCCCAGTTGTCTGCCAATAGCATCTCCCATCTTCTAATTGCAAACCATGACTAGGAGATCATAAATTCGTACCCAGAAGTTTGCCTCAGAGAAGGAGATGTTGATTTGCTCAACACATCTTTGGTTAAGACCAAATGTTCGTCGAAAGCCCAAGGATCATCGTGCTTAACACGTTCTTTATCCCGATTGTCTTCAAATTCAGCCAGGAACAGATTGGTAGAGATATCTCGGATGCTCAGAGCCTTATTTGGATGCCATACACGCTTTATGGAATTCTTGAATGCCTCTTTGTTAAAATATTTACTGGATAAAAGTTTGAGTAACAGACGTTTCTCACTCTGATGGGGGGTAATCACCTCTTCTTCTTCAAGTACCAGTACGTCTTCCTCCTGTTCTATTAGAGAAAGTTGCTCACACATTTTTACAACATCCGATTCCATAGAGAAATTACCAAGATACGCGAAAAGAAATCCTGCACTAATGCAGGGAGAAAAAACTTCTATTCCGTGAGCCTTCAAGAAGGGGGTGAACCTCTACTCATGGAGACCTCCAAGCAAGGGCCCTCGAGAGGAGAAATCAACAATTCCATTTTTTATTATTGGGTAGATGAGAAAGAGGGAATTCCCTGAAAAATAAAAACCTACCCAACCTCTTATCTACTATATTAATTAAAAAGCTACCATAAGCAAAACTTTAATCAAAGCAAACAATCAAAAAATATTATAAAGTAATAAAATCTTGAAACTTAAAATAATTGATAATTTCTATATGTAAACCGCGTCAATTATATTCAAACAAAATGACAATTGTAAAAAATAAAAATAAAAATCGTTGAGGCAGATGTGTATAGTTAATCAATGACTAATGGTTTTCATGCAAAATGTTAACATTCTTTCTCAGAGCATTAGTGACAAATGTATAAATGACAGGTTTTGCTCCAAATTTAAAACTTGTTTGTATCCTTCAACGATATCATATGAAAGAGGAAATAATGAAGCACAAGGCATAGATAGAAAGTTTTGTCGTAAGAGGAAATAATGAACCTGTGACATGGATGACTTAACCTCATGGCACATGTTAATTGGACCAGAGAGCTTGGAGACGATTATGTTAGTTTAGGAAAATTGTGGACCATATATACATCCAATAGTTGAATTTAGTTTTGTGACGAATTTCTCTATACTAAACATATCTCTTTCACTCTTTATCATAGT